GCCTTCTGACACACTTCCGGTGATGCCAGGGGGTGTTGCATATGCATATAAGTTATACTAATGAGCTCCTGCACCTCTTTTTCTACGAAGTGACCCCTGGTTATAATCCGAAATCAGAGCCGTTCCACCATTAAATGATTCTCAGCGTACATTTTTATTTTACTGTAAAAGTGCTTTCACACACGCTAGATAATGCCGTTTTGATCTACTTCGGCGACTGTGCGAGTGGATCTCGCCGTTTCACACAGCAACATCCAGTTGCAAAGTGCACTGAAAGTGGACTGAAAGTGCGTTGTTTCGTGTGTGTGTGAAAAGCCCCCAAGGCAGGGGAGAAGCTTTCATGATCTGGAAGCGAAGCTCCTCCCTGGCCACATATCTTGGACTCCTGGACTCTTGCTCTTTTCCACTTCTAAGTTTCTCGGGAGGGATAAAGTGTGATTCACACAGCAAGTCTGAATGGGGAATAGGGACTCCTTTGCATATCAGGCGACACACCCCTAATGTAGCCAATCCTCAGAGACCTTACAGAGTTCTTCTTACAGGGGCCACTGTAAGCTCTTGGAGGATTGGCTACATCAGGGGTGTGTCTGATTGGGTGACAAGCTAAGGGAGGGACTGGACTTTCAGCAATTGCACGGGGAAGGGTTGCCAATCTCCAGGTGAGTCCTGGAGCTCTCCCGGACTTACAAATGATCTCCAGTCTACAGAGATCAGTTCCCCTGGAGGAAACGGCAGTTTCAGATAGCCCCAGGGATCCTGGAGTATTTTTGTCTTCCTCTGGGCATAAAGCAGGGGTCCTTGGGTGTGCCGTGGGGTTGGAGTAGGTAGCTGTGAATTTCATGCGTTGGGCAGGGGGTTGGACTAGATGACCCTTGGGGATCCCTTCCAGCTCTAAGGTTTCTATATAAATCTACAATACACCATAAATCCTAACTGTAACTCCTCCCCATATTTATTAGGGTTGCCAGCTCTGGGTTGTTGGGAAATACCTGGAGACTTTGGGGGTGGATCCGGGAGAGGTCGGGGTTCGGTGGAGGGGAGGAGCCTCAGCGTGGTACAAAGCCACAGAGTCCGTCCTTCAAAGCAGCCGTTTTCTCCAGGGGAGCTGATCTCCGTCAGCTGGAGATGAGTTGGCCCGTCGAAGCAGCCGTTTTCTCCAGGGGGGCTGATCTCCGTCAGCTGGAGATGAGTTGTAAAAGTGGGAGATCCCCAGGCCCCACATGGTGGATGGCAACCCATCATTCCCTCGTTTACAGGCACTGCCCGCAAATCTCCAGGCACTTCCCTGGCCAGAGTTGTGCAGGCCAGACTGCGCACACCCCGCAAAAGCCAAGCGTGCCCCTCTTTCAAGCTGTGCGGGCAATGCTCCCTCTAAGCTGTGGAGTCTTGTGAGCAAAAATTCTATTTTGTGAGCTGCTGGGCTCCTGGCATTAAAGTTCTGAGCGAGCCATTTGGCTCCTGCATAAATTAGTTTGCTCTGGAGCTCTCCTTCCCGAGCGAAGCCAAAAATGTGTGAGCCAGAGGCTAAGAAACTGTGAGCTAGCTCACCCTAACTCAGCTTAGAGGGAACACTGGTCGCGGGGGTCTGCCTTGCCCCTGCTCTTTGGGGAAACCTGCAGCAAACTTCCACACTGGCTAGAAAGGAGGAGGCGAGCATACCTTTCCGCGGGGCTGTTTTCTCTCTCGGTCCCGATTGCCGCCAGCCTCGGTCGGGGCAAAGTCCAGCCGGGGAGCAGCGCAGAACCAATAGCAGACAGGGGGCCAGGAGGGCGGCCGACGACTTCAGAAACTCCGCCTGCAGAAGCGGTTTACAGGCACTGCCCGCAAATCTCCAGGACCTTCCCCGGCCAGAGTTGTGTGGGCCAGACTGCGCACACACCACAAAAGCCGAGCCTGCCCCTCTTTCAAGCGATGCAAAACTGTCCCGGGCAATGCTCCCTCTAAGCTGTGGAGTCTTGTGAGCAAAAATTCTATTTTGTGAGCTCCTGGCATTAAAGTTCTGAGCGAGCCATTTGGCTCCTGCATAAATTAGTTTGCTCTGGAGCTCTCCTTCCCGAGCGAAGCCAAAAATGTGTGAGCCAGAGGCTAAGAAACTGTGAGCTAGCTCACCCTAACTCAGCTTAGAGGGAACACTGGTCGCGGGGGTCTGCCTTGCCCCTGCTCTTTGGGGAAACCTGCAGCAAACTTCCACACTGGCTAGAAAGGAGGAGGCGAGCATACCTTTCCGCGAGGCTGTTTTCTCTCTCGGTCCCGATTGCCGCCAGCCTCGGTCGGGGCAAAGTCCAGCCGGGGAGCAGCGCAGAACCAATAGCAGACAGGGGGCCAGGAGGGCGGCCGACGACTTCAGAAACTCCGCCTGCAGAAGCGTGCATGCACGCGAAAGCGTATACCCAGAATTAAACTCTGTTGCACACACGAAAGCGTATATAGGGGATGAAAACTTTTCTGGATGCATTTTGTTGCACGCACACGAAAGCGTATACCCAGAATTAAACTCTGTTGCACACACGAAAGCGTATACCCGGGATGAAAACTTTTCTGGATGCATTTTGTTGCATGCACACGAAAGCGTATACCCAGAATTAAACTGTTACATGCATATGAAAGCGTATACACCCAGAATTAACCTTTTCTGGATGCATTTTTTTGCATGCACACGAAAGCGTACACCCAGAATTAAACTGTTGCATGCACACGAAAGCGTATACCCAGAATTAAACTTTATTACATGCACACGAAAGCTTATACCCAGAATTAAACTTTTCTGGATGCATTTTGTTGCACGCACACGAAAGCGTACACCCAGAATTAAACTGTTGCATGCACGCGAAAGCGTATACCCAGAATTAAACTTTATTGCATGCACACGAGAGCTTATACCCAGAATTAAACTTTGCTGGATGCATTTTGTTGCACACGAAAGCGTATACCCAGAATAAAACTTTGTTGGTCTTTAAAGTGCCGCTGGACTTGAATTTTGGTCTTCAGCCTGCGTCGGTACACGGGCCGGGGCCGCTGCACACGGGTCACGGGCAAAGGGTGGTTTTTGCAATCTGTCTTGCTGAGCGAGCTCCAAGCGCTCTGAGATTTCAGCAGAATCTGGGAAGTCTACCAAATTGGGAGGGGGGGGGGCGCTTAAAAAAATGTCTCGCCTGCGTAATAAACCGAGACGGAGATGCCCCGTCTGGGAGAGAATTTTCGCATTAAAAGTCTTCAAAATTGCCAGATCGGGCTGATCAGATGCAAGAATCGGCTCCAGCTGGGCGTTCTGGCGGCTGGTGAGTTGCCAGCTTTTTAGATCCGGTCCTGCGCCTCTGCCCAGCAACGTACGAGCTCCGCTCCGTCGCCCTCCTTTCTCCGCCGAACTCTTCAAAGATGCAACCCGGCCGCGAAGGAGTTAACCCGCGCCCGGGATTTCAGGCGAGGGTGGAAGGCAGTGCGCATGCGCCTGCCTTCCCACAGCGCGGCCATCGAGGAGAGCGGACAGCGCCGCTTGCTGGCCGGAGGTGGGAAGTGAGGCTGAGACGAGAGCCGGCCAGTTTTAACTATTTGTGGATCGGTCCACTCGCCCCTCCCCGCCTTCCTGCGTTTATAGCAGCCCTCTGATAAGAGTTGCCAACTCCCGGGATTGGAAATTCCAGGATATTTGGGGGGAGGGAGGGTAGAGGAAGGCCCTCAGTGGGATACGATGCCACAGAGTCCACCCTTCAAAGTAGGGATGCCAGTGTGGTATTACCAGGATGTGAATTTGGCACAGTAGGGCACTTCTGCTGGTCCTGTGACCTGTTCTGGAGGCACTCTTTC